ATAAAGTGATTCCGAATGTGAAAAACCTTTTTACTGCCATTGCCATTGTTTTTTTTCAAATATATAAATTGGTAGGACTTTTTGAATTAAAATCTGCTAAAAATGATGATATAACTTATAATATATCGAGAATTATCATATTTTTGGCAGTAGAGATTTATAGTTAAAAGTAGGCGTAATTTTTTGGAAAGTTTTTATCGATACAAATATAACTTTTTTTATGTGAATATGCTTCTGTTTTTATGCTTTTGGCTAAAAATTCTTTTTATAATAAAAGGTAATTTATCAAGATAATTAGAAATATTAACCAACTGTGTAAAGCTAATGTTTTTTTTACAATTAATTAATTTCTGTGTGCTTTTACACAACGAACTGCTTTAATTAATTTTGTAAGGTTATCAATTTTGTATTTAATGATTATATCATAAAATTTTAAAGGTCATTAATCTATGTCTTAGCTAAATCGATTTAAGGTAAATAGATTTAAGGGTTGAAATTTTGACAGCCTATCTAAATGGGCAATTACTAATAAGGATATTTTAAAATTTAAACCTCACAGGTGAGAAAACGGAGGTATCAATTTTTAAAGAAAACAATATTATTCGCGTGTCTAGTTAAATAAATTTTATTTAAAAAATATTTTTTAATTAAAAAAAAAACGTTAAAATAAACCCAAATTTGAAGGTTTTACTAGTAACCATATTATTGCCCGGATTGCATAGAAAGTTTTAAATCAATACGACATTAATTAAGAGTAGTTTAATTTAGATTTACAAGATTAGTTACAAAAATAATGCTATTTAGTTATTAAAAGTATAGCTGATACTCAATTGTATTTTTACTCAACTTATTACAGGAAGAATAAGCGACGGCAAGTGACTCTTTCCTAGCTCTAGGCACGACGAAATTCGATCGCCTAGTGAAAAATATACATACATAAACAAAGCAATGTTGGACTAAAAAATCCATATACCTCTAAATATTTACAAATATAAAAAAATTGGTACAAACAAAACTATACATCGCACAGCAAGTCGAACATGCGCCATAAAAGCCACGCGTAATTTTGAATCCGTAAAACATTCGCTGAATAATCACGACGCATTGAAGCCGCTCAAACAAAATTTCAAACTTAAAACACACTCACTGACGCAGGCCTTCTGTCTGGCCACAGGTTTTTAATACATCCAAATAGGATGGCCGTGGTGTATGGAGTCGTTTTCACCAAAAAGTGAATCATAAAGTCGACGCCTGAGATAGGAATCAAAGCAACATAATGAGACGCTTCTATTCACTGTGAGGCATTCGTGTCATCGTACTAGATAAGACATGCTATGCACTATTTTAATACTGATTCTCAGGTACATTCTTAATACTGTAAATTAATATTGGACTACTATTATAAATACGAATGTTTGTATGTTTGTTATTCCTTCAAACTAATCTGGCTGGACGGTTTTGAATGATAAGTACACAGATAGACTAGACCTGGAGAAATAAATTTACTATTAGACACTTAGGGACGCTCGTCGGCTCTGAATAGTAAAAACTACTTTTATTTGTGTTTTCACGCACGTCAAGATGCGTGCTTTCTATATATTTAAATAACATAAAAGCAAAAGCAATTCAATAAAGTCTAACAATATTGTTCTAGAACATGGTCTATCTGTGGGCGAAATATCCAAATACGCCCAACAGTAGTTCAAGTAAAAAACATTCAAACTAACAAGCTTTGTTGAATCTTCCAAAACATAAGTATTAAAGACTTGCATTGCCCGGCTCTGCCTGCGTTCAGATGATCAATAACCAAATTCTTAGGTTTTACATATCAGTATACTCTTACATGACATTTTTTGTATATTTCTCAGAAATGAGATATTTTCTAGCGGTAAAAAGTATCCTATATGTTGACCTGGATAACCAGCTATCACCATACCAAATTTCATCAAAAAACAGACAGACAGACAAAAAGTCTAAAAACTATAGATTCAGCCTCTATCGATAATAATATTTATTTCAATAAGATTTTCCAAAAAATATTTAATATACAGATTTGGCTTGGTTACAATTTTATTATATGTATAGATTTTAAAACGACTTAAAATATATCCTGTCGTTTTACTGTCACTGAGTAACAAACAAACACACACCACACGCATTTGTAACATTAGTCCAATATATATGTATAGTAATTTAATTTCTCATCCAGTATAATGTATGTCTTTGCGCCGGGCGTTGTTTGAGGAGCGGGCGGCTGACCGCGGGGCGCAGGCTGCAATCAGCTAACCGGATCAGCTCGGGTGCAAACACAATTGATAGCGCCGCCATTGCCACGCACCTGAACACATTTTACTTTACCTTCTCTGATGAACTTTCCAGTTAATGTACCTACATAGATATTATGTTTTATATAATACTCTTTTATATCTTTTATGAGTGTCATTATTAAAAGCACTAGTTCTTTTTATGGTTGGTTCTTAAATTTAGCTTATGTAAGCCAAGTGTACTTATGATTGTCGTAGGTCTTCTATTATAGTTACGAGAGCTTGTATGAGTTGTATATATATTTTTTTCTCCTTCACCCTAAAACGGCTGGACGGATTTGGATGAAATTTAGTATATACAGATATAGGATCTGGGGAAACATAAGACTATTGTCTTGTATCTAGGCATGAACACGAGCGAAGACAGGGCAAGTCGTTAGTACTAATATAAAATATTTTGTCAGCGAATTAATATATATTACTTAAAAGTATTTTTGCTTCAATGTTACCTTCATTGTACTTCATTGTGAGCTACTTAATTAATTAACAAGCATAGTATTATACTGAATTAAAAATGTGATTTTAATTGAGATTATTATCTTAAAATTAAAAACCGTCAATTGTTCTAAATAAAAATAGGCTATTTAATATTTAAAAGTACTGCGGCACTATTTGATGCTGTTATGAGATGGTAAATTAACACTTATCATTAGCCTTAATTAGAATAGAAATTTAAGAAATAATCAACTGTGTTTATAGAATGGGATAGTTTGTAGGATGGTCGCCGAATACCCTACATGTGCATTGCACATTGTCAGTTGTCGAGCATAAACAATGCTGAACGGATTCTATTGAAGTATAAAATTACAAACAGAATTTGACCAATCGCTTGATGAAATATTTCAATATATTTGCGAGGATTGATAACATATTACCGAATTCAAAATTTTTGTATGTATTTGATCATCATTCTTTTTTAGTTTTTATTTTTATGTAGGTATATATGTAGGCATCATTAAATTAAAATATAATATCCATATCCATACTAAAATTATAAATGTGAAAGTGTGTTTGTTTGTTTGTCCTTCTTTCACGTCGAAACGGAATAACGGATTCACGTGATTTTTAATGTGGAGGATAGTTGGAGGGCTGGAGAGTGATATAGGCTGCTTTTTGCTGCGAGAGATGATCTCATTCCCATAGGAAAACACGTTATAAGACAACCCAAAAAATATTTATAGTCAGAATTACTTGACACAGTATTAATTCTCTTCATTACAATTAAATAAATACGTTTTAGCATTTTTCGCAAATTCATCCTATAAGGGAGTAAAATAGGAGATGAAAGTTTATATGAACCCAAACATTTTAGAGCTTTTTTGTAGTTTAGCGCGAGCGAAGCCGCCGGTTCTGCTAGTTAAGCTATAAATTTGAATTACTTTTTACTTTGCAGTAGTTTAAAACTTTTTATTAAGTGCCGTAATCTTATTCTTGTGTGATATAAAAAATACATCAAAAATATATTTAATATTTTTGAAATTATATTTTTTATAAATATGTACTTATAAAAGTTTTTATTTAAAGTTCTGTTATATTTGAATTTTCTCATGTATAAAAAACTGTATAATAAAACTGTTGACAATTTAATAAAGCATTTCGTAACTTAATAAGTGTCGATATAAGACTTATTCGGATTTGTCTAGGTATACATATAATAAGATTGTAACTAAGCCGAATCTATACATTAAATATTTTTTGGAAAACATTATTAAAATAAGCATTATTATCGATACCGAGGCCGAATCTGTACTTTTTAGAATTTTTGTCTGTCTGTCTGTTACCGCATCACAGAATGACCACAAGAGGTATTTTGATGAAATTTGGTATGGCGATAGCTGGTTATCCGGTCAACATATAGGAAACTTTTTACCGCGGGAAAATATCTCATTTCTGAGAAAAAATATAAAAACGGTAATGTAAGAATATACTAATATGTAAAACCTAAGAATTTGTTTTGGTCATCTGAACGCGGGCGGAGCCGCGGGCAATGCTAGTTTTTTTATAAATATAAAAGCTTTTATTTAAAGCTCTGCTGTATTTGAAATTTTTCATATATAAAAAACTGTATAATAAAATTGTTAACTATTTAATAAAGCATTTTGTAACTTAATAAAAGTGTCGATATAAGACTTATTCGGCTTTGTATAATATAAGTAAGTCAATGAACTCCATATTTGTTTCGTCATATACCTATTCATGTAAAAATAAAATACAGGTATATTTTTGGAATTGATTCTTTATCTCGGGGTCTCTACATATTTACACCTCACATTGCTTTACTTAAATCTCAATGTACAATAATAAACACATTTACATTTTATACAAATAAATCAGGCCTCTATTATTTTCTAAATTATCTCAGTCAATGTGAAGATTAATATAATATTACACATGAAAGAATCTAGTTTAGTAAAAGTACATACATAAATCTATCGATGTACATTTTATGTTCAATATTAACATTTAAATAGTTTATGCATCTATAATTAAAAAGCTTTAACAATACAAATAACAATCATCCTTTAATAAATACATTATAATTATGACAATTCAGCCAATATCTACTACACTTTATTAATAAATATCTCATATTTAATAATACCTACAATATTTACAAGCTCGTTTTATCACATTTTAATAAGTCCGCTTCATACGGAAATAATGTCACTAAATTTAATATGGCCGCCACACGGATTTATGCGTTGATATTGAACTGTTCGTAATTTTAGTTGATGTTGGACTAGAGAGAACTCGCGTTCGTTGTGAAGGCGCTTTTAGTTCGTTGCGCATACGTGGTCGGTCTGAAACCGTGGAATCCGCGGCTTGAACTTGTTTCATTTGCAATTCGACATTCGCCGGCCTTGTCGGATGGAAAGCAGATTTAACTACTTCAATCTGCTCTTCGTCGGATTCGTCGGATGCCTCGTGAGTTGAATTCACTTCAGATTTTGTGTTTGATCTAGGACTTGCGTTCGCCATACTTCGCGGGCTCCCGCTTTGCCTACTGCTTGTTGGCGATAATCGAGCACTAGACGTGTCCATTGAAGAAACGTTGCTTTGTAAATGTCTTAACGCGTCGTAACCATTTTTCATCGTCAGTTCCGGTGGCAACGTTTTTAACGCGAGTTCAGCCGGATGTGGCGCAAAGGGTAATAGCCCATTAGGTGGCAAAAAAGTTCCAGGTGGAGGTATTAACCCTCCAGGTGGTAAACTTGCCATTGCCGCTGGGAATGGGAACAACTCGGCTCCGGGCAATGCAACCGGTGGCGTAGTAATGGGTGCAGCACCTGTGGGCAAAAGAGAATACGTTATTGAATTATCATAAATAATGCTCTTTATAGCTTCTGCTGTCTGATTTGACAACATGTCGTTATATGAGAGACGAGCCTCTAGGGACTGCCCGGGGCACGCGGGCACTCTGCTGATCCCTGAACAACGAGGGTGCATAATCGTACCAAGGATAATGTACAATCTGTAGGCGTTTAAAGGCGGCTTCATCGAAAGGGATGTTTTTTTAGTACGATATTAGGAGGGTGAGGGTGCAATATTTATTTATCCAAACGCGACGTAGTTCTTTACGATCCAGACACAGTATTCCTTAATTCGCTGCGAAATGTGCCCTCGGTGTTGAAACCGCATTAGCTATGCGAGGCACGCGTGGATTGCACTGGACAGTAGACACATGTACGGACACAAAGCCGGATCTGTTGCGATAAGGAACTTCTATCTTCGTGTACGACGGACAAAGAGGACTCGAAACGTGAAATTTTCATTAGCACCAGTGTTCAAAAGTTCTTGTAGCGAGCTTTGATTCTCGATAAGTGTAAGAGTCGGATGCATAAAAAGGACACGATGGAGGCGCAGATTGGGCCACAAAGAGCTCGGAGGTGGCACGTATCTCTTTTACACTTTTTATATTTGCAGCAGTGGCAGTGCGCAGACCACTTTAAAAGGCAACAGGGAGGGTGGGGTAACTAGGGGGTAATTTGGTGAGGTGGGGGGCCAATATCGGCGTCGCGCCTGATTGAGGTGATCCCAACGCCCAGATTTCAAACTGCTGTGCAATAACTATTATATTTAATCAATTTTTTCGGTAAATTATTTTAGTGGAATTATCTTGTAATTAGCTATATGATTATATAAATGATATCGATGGCTGTATTTTATTAAATTAAATCATTAACTATTTTATACCTGTATTGTAAATAAATTTGAACAACGAGAGGTTATAAGTAGATTGAAGCAACTTTTGAATACAAATTGCAAAGTTAAGCTTATCCCTTTGTGAAAATGAACTTAGCTAAGGTTTAATAAAGGTCGGTAGGTGTTTGAGTACAACGCTCCTCGCGTTTCAGCGTCGGAAACAAAAAGTGGCTGGTGGCGCGGTCGCCTACATTGGAATAAAATTGACTCCACACTCTCTCGAACGTGAAGGCGGTGTTTTTTATACTTTTTCCGTACTGAACCCCCACTTCCCCCAGCGAGCGGACTTCAGCGGGTGGTTTTGCTTCGGTCGGACCGGTGTTGTTTTGCAACGCTCAAGAGCCGCTTCTTTTATTTGAGCCTTTACGTTGTAAGGCCTTGAGGGGTGGTTCCGATGCGAGCTACATGTTTTCGAGTGTTGTTTGCGAAATCGGGAATTTTTAAATTAACGAATGCCAAATAATCCGTCGATCGGAAGTTCAATAGGAATCGAAAAGACGGCTAATATCTGTTTTAGTTCTATGATTATTACTGGTTTATGTTTAAGTTTAAATGCTTATGTGAACAATGACACGAATAAAAAAAATTTTTTTTTATTAGTTTTTAATAAGATATTGATAATTTACCTTTAACAAGTGCAGCTGGATCTCTTAGCTGGGGCGGCCTAAAATAATCTGCCCAAGCATAATTCAAATAAGCTGCATCAAGCCATCCAGGATTTAACAAGAATGGATTAAACGCTCCAGGATGTCCATACCCGTAGTCTGAAACAAAAGAGAAATATTATTAATATTTATAACATGCAGATAAACAGAAACCAAATTGTTATTTTCTTTAATTTACTTATTACTATTGTATAAAAATATATAGAGCAACGAGAATGGTCATATCGAGGTCAACCTCAGATTATCCTTAAGAAATCACCATCACATTTGACAAAGGCAAGCAGTAAAGGCGGCGACACACGGCTCGCGTACTGTTTACCGCTCCCGCCGACTATAACAAGGGGTTTGTATACAAAACGACCCGGTTTACTACTGCAGTTAGCCGGCATTTCTGTGCCATACGTTTTTACGACCCTCCACCATAACGTTGCCTTTCGCCTTTCAGCTAGCGAAACACTTTTTTATTTGTTTAATCGATAGGCTACTGAAGACGCCACTGCCGATGTCTATTTTAGTTTTTATGAGCGATTTTAATCCGGTCGCGACTCATCTCAATCGATACGATCAGGTGTATCGACTTTTTTATTACAGGATTAACAGTTTACGAGCACTTCGTCTACTTTGTTTTGAATTACTGATCACTGTTTAGTGACTTCGTCTGAAGTTTAATGTTGCGCAAGTTTTTAAGTTGTTAGCCTAATTTTGTGCGCAATCAAAACATTTCTTTGTTTTCCCGTAAATAATCAGGTGAGTAGACATTTTTATTGCTCACTAAGAATGTTTACAGAAGATCACTTTATTTCTGTACACACAATCCGTTTGGATCCGAGATTAGCGAGTGTTTCGGGCAGGCGTTTTCCAAATCGCGGGTATTTTAATTTAAGAACGTGATGGATGGCCCGTCGCGCTGTCACGTGGCAATCCGGCAGAAGAGCTCCACCATCATGGTACATAATAAGTTAAATGTGGAACTCGGAAATGGCCCGCTCCATTTGTTAATGCCAGTATTCAATTAAATTCGGTTCCCCAACCCTTTGTACATGCAGAGCTCTGAATATTAACATCGCAACGAGCCGTTCTAACTGTTAAGAGACATTTTGGATTAATAATGATGCTTCAGCTTGAGTAAAGTGTTTTAAATTACGATCTACTTAACAGTTTTATATAAACGGGTGATAAAGACATTAAATTTGTACCACAGTCCATGTTTATTAAATACTAGCATTGCCCGCGGCTGCGCCCGCGTTTAAATGACCAAAAAGACAATTCTTACGTTATACATATTAGTATACTCTTACAATGCAGTTTTTGTATGTTTCTCAGATGAGATATTTTCTCGCGGTAAAAAGTATCCTATATGTTGACCCGGATAACCAGCTATCCAGTCCAGTGGTTTTTCTGTGATACGGTAACAGACAGACAGACAAAAATTCTAAAAACTATAGATTCGGCCTCTGTATCAATAATAATGTCTATTTCAATAAGATTTTCCAAAAAATATTTAATGTATAGATTCGGCTTAGTTACAATTTTATTATATGTATAGAAGACGTTTGAGCGATACGAAATAAGTGTCAAAAGAGGCATTAAATAAGTCGAATGAGAAGCGAACGTTTGTTACTCATAAATTAATGTTGAAGACGTGTTGGGCGCGCGTTGAATAAATGGAATCAGAGTTATGGCTCATAACTCGGGGCGGTTGGCGACGGTGTCTTATGACAAACACCACATTTATATTGTCTTTTAGTTGTGATTGTCTTATATAGGGTTCAGACGCTGTTATTGACTCGAATGACTCCATATTTATTACTTGGATTTATTGTAACTATGAACTTTATTATACTAAAATATATCTTTGAGTACAGTTTAAGAAAATACGACAAATGAGTTTTCGATTTCGAAATTCTAATTGAAACAAATTGGTCGTAACTCCTTCATACGTCGGTTATGAGGGTCGCTGGGTGTGGATGTGGTATTAGCAGCAGAGAGACATAAAATTCATATTTTAGAGGCAGCGGGCGGTAGCGGGGAGATCAAACGGACTTTACGACGGGCCCCGAGATTGTTTACATCTGTTACGCGACCGTGGCCGCACCATGAAACTTGGTAACCGCTTGTACAGCAAGTGTCGCATATTAAACTTTACAAATGTATAATTCTAACTTGAATATTTTAATTCTTCTAGATACCAATTACGATTTTCGTAAATTACTTATATGTACCTACCTAATAACGAAACTTGTACACCTTAACGTAGCTCATACTACTAACGCTACTACCAATGGGTTAGTAGTGGAAATCAACTTATTATTATACATATAACACCTACATGGAACTGAGTGACAAACAGATTGAAATTAATATTCAATTTATCTAATAATGATGATGAAGACATCGATAAACAAGTGCAATAGAAAGGCGTCTCGTTAATTAATATACCGCCATAAAGCCGCGACGCCACTGATCGCATTATTATCCCTCGCCTTTGATGTTTATCGCTGAGGATGTTAGTTTTTCCGCATGTCTTTTTATTATTGACCAAACTTTGGGCGCATCGGTTTGTTTATACAGACGGTCTCGTTTGACGAAAATAGATTTGTGGTGTCAAAACGTTATGATTCGAGCGTGATTTGTGGAACTTGGTTTTAATTGTTTGAATTGAGCCACAATTAACTTTTGATTGGAGTAAAAATAATTGAGTACATTTTGTTTTTATTACACGTTTGTTTATATTACAATTAAACTTCAACGGAATTTTAAGTAATAATCAGAATTGATGAAATTATTTACATTTTTGTTTTATTTTTAAATTTATTCTATCCGTTGTTTATCTTTTACATCATACATATCTAAATTTGATGTATGTATTTTAAATAAAACTATCTTTTCGGATTTATTCGCGGATATTTGGATTTTTGATTCCGAATGCCTGACTGCCGAATGAATGACGTTTCGAATGCTTTACAGCATTCATGGTTACGGGAGAGACTAAGGTGTTACATGTCTCAAAGGTATTATATTGTTGTTATAGACAGCCTACCCACAAATAACAAAATGAATTCAAAAAAATGAAAAATGGCACCAAAGTACCTTACAATATTTTTAATTTCAAACACTTTTATAATTTAATTAGTTTTATAATTCGAATATAGAATGTACGTAGGTATGGATATATGTACATATATGTATTAATGTACATATGTAGGTAATTTACCTTGAAAATTAGCTAGCAACTTAAATCTACTTCAAACTGAACTCTGACTAAATAATGAAAGTTTATTATTCTTCAAGTCGTATCGTTCAATTATCTTTAACATTATTTTTAAATGCTCTAACCAATAACCATTTATAAGTCGACGTCAAAACACTTTACAGCACACTCGTAAAGACAATCAAGAGTTATTTTTGTAGTCGCTTAGTATGTTTGAGATTAAGAGATGTAACTAAAGTCTGCGTGATTGACTGATTCTCACGTTCAGACAACTTATCGTACGGAATACAGATGTTTGTTTTTATTCTTATACAATTTATGTGTTCTATAGTGGATGGGTTAAAATAATCGTAATCAGCTAACAGAAACTGAACTTAAATTTCACACAAACCAGGTTTTAAAATTTAAATGATGACGAAAATTAAGTAGATAAATCTATTTTAAAATGCGTTGAGACTGTGGATATTTTATTTTAACAGGCTTCAATTATTAAAATAAACATTATACAAATGATTGGAAAATGATTTACGAAACTTTTTACATTTTTTCAGTAGGTAATAAATATATAGATACATACATAACATTATGAAAACGAATGAAATCTTTTATATTAACAAAAGAGTTTTAATATGATAATAAAATATTAAATCGTTTGGCGCCGAACGACTCGTATTAATAACCGAGGATTTGAATGTAAAACTATTTTCAATGTGGTCAAATGGTCGGAGCCGCAAAACCGTCCGTGGACTGGCGGGCGGCCAGCCAGCGCACGCGCATATAGAAATCTAGATCATAATGTTAGTATGTATATTTCAAATATACGTTTTTATCTTAGAATTTTATAGCTCAAGAGTTATTTTTTCGAGGTAATAGTGCTGCCGTTTATTTTTTGCAGTAATCGCGAAATAATGTTGATTATAATTTATGATCTCAAGAATAACGTATTTACGTACGTATATACGGCAATATAATGTTTCCAGATATAATTTGTAGTAGAATAGGAATATATAAAGAACTGTACAAACAGTAATAATTTTTGTTAGGTAATAAGTGATTTAAAAAAAAATATTTAATTTGAAATGGAACTTTTAAATATACATATATATTATTGACTGACTTTACATGAGGAGAAAGTATTACTTAAATTAAGTATGAAGGTTACATATGTTTTATAAGATTTAATTTTATGAATTTAAGTATTCGTTATATCTTAAGGTCCCAAATATAAATTTAAAGGAAAACTCTACTCAAAGATATATAATTGGGGGATACTTAAGTACATATTTTTAAAATAGACTACAATTTTCAAGTCAGTGTCCATTTTGAGTTAAAAAAGTTAGTATAAAAATAATAATAATTTACTACTTCAAAATTACTATTTTAAATTTACCTACTAAAATGTATATTAATAAATAAAAATGTAGTCATATTTATACTGTAATTAATAGTAATAAAATCTAATAAAAATAATTGCAATAGCTGAGTTAAATTAAAAAAAATGAGTTTGACTCGTCTATTAAAATTATTATCTATCTAGAAATATGTAGAATATTATAGGAACTTACTTTGTTTGGTTCTAGGTTCTCTTGGTCCGTCAACTGTAACCTTGATTGCCTTGGTGTAAGTTGCGACTTGGCTCGGGAATGTACTGATGGTGATGGTGAGTGTGAACGACTTGCCTCGTCCACTGCGACCCACGAACCTCAGATCATTAAATTTCGCAACTTGGTTCTTCATCACTGCCGTGCAATTCCTCATTTCTGCCATTACATTTTCATCGTTTCCCGCTTTTATCGTAACTAAAGTGCCGTCTTGAACGTCATCCAATGCGACAACTTTAAACGCAACTGGCAAGGATTTGTTCGACCGCCAGTGGCCAGGCAGGGCCGAGCAAAGCACAGCCGGTGAGCCCGTCTGCACCAGGTCGCCGTGACTCTGCCGGTAGTACTCATGGATGTGGGAGTAAATATCCGCCATCGTAGGGGTCGGGGGACTTGCGTGTGGAAGGTGCATCGACTCCAGTTCACCTTCGAACACTTCTCTACACGCCACTAAAGTTCCTCGTCACGCCACTAGTCCATAAACACTCTGTCAAAAGTTTTAAACACGCAAACGAAACTCAAACTCGCGACGAAGTGTGCACGGAGCACTCCGGAAAGTTGTGTAAAGTATGGGCGCGAGACGCCGTGTGAGCGGCCGACCGTCTGCACCACTTGTTGGGCGCGGGTAAGACGCCGGGCGGGGGACTCGGAAAAATAATGGACGACTCGGCGAAACCGCAAGCCGAAGACTCACGAAGCGCACCGAAGTCGCAGCGAAGGGACGCGTACTCGCGAGGACTCAGTTTCGACTGATGACTGCGATACGACGCGACTTTTTCCGATGGTCAATATTTTGCGTTCGCGCGGTCGCCGCCCCCACCCGGGTGGCGGCCCCTACGTCTCGTAAAAAGCGGGAAGGAGACGAAGGGTGCGGGCGGCGCGGAGCCGCAGCGGGAACGAACGGGACGACCGCGGTTGATCTCTGCGTTTTTATAAAAATGCTCGCGGAAACGAGACGTTGTCCCACCACACGACCCGGTGGGAGAGAGACGGGTGCATTTTTTTGAATAGCCACGGTGACGTATCACGAGGCGGCGGTAATTAGGCCACGGGGCGGCGGGAAACCGCGGCCGGTGTGAAAACCTATCAACGAGCTCATGAAAAATTATGATTTCCATGTTTGAGTCGAAAGCTCTGCTCACGGGGTGGCACTTCATTTGGCCGAAGCATGCGTGGAATTCTGATCGCGAGGTTCATCAACTGACATTTAATTTCAAGCATTCAAATGAACTTTTGTCGGTTATGGTTTGGCTGGAAATTGTGGATAATTTTATTACTTACTTTTACATGTAATTTTTCTGTTTACCATTGAAATTATTTATTTTATTATTGATAGATTTTAAAAAAAAGATTCATATTAAAAGTTAGTTCTAAAGAAATACAAAGTTAGCGTAACAAGTAAGTTTGAACGGTAACCGCGGCGTGGTCGGGTTGCGGTGCGAGCGGGACGGCGCGAGGGGCGGGCCGGTGCCGGCGGGCGGGGCGACAAACTTGGGTATAACTTCGCACGGAGTTTCCCGCGCTCTACGCGACGACACATGACAGTGCATACGCGACCGTAGTATACGACTACGTGGCCGCGAACTTCCATTGTACTTTATAACACTTTACACTAATTGCAGCCACAACGATGATCATATTTTTTTTATTATATATATATTTAACTGAAATCGGAAGTAAAATATGTAAATGTATTAATAAAATAAATTTGTTGTGAATTTATACCTACATAGCTATATCTTAAAAAAAAATGTTACTTTTAATTTAATTAATAGATAATTACATTATTGCCAGGGTAAAATTTATTTCTAGACCTTCAGCATCCGGCTTAGCTCATAAGATTAAATTTTAAAACTTTATTTTAACAAATTACGATAAAGATATACCTACCTATAAAAATAATTTTGACGGCACGTTTGGCTCAGTTTGTATTGAGCCTACTTGCTGTGTCAGCGGTCACGGGTTCGAGTCCCACTGGGGACATCCATTTGTGTGACTAGCACGAATGTTTGCACTCCAGTCATGGGGGTTTTATATTTATATTTAATATTTATAATATGTATGTATTAAAAAAAATGTTATAAATGTGTAGTGTATCAACTATCTGATACCTATCTATAATATGGGCCTCGTAGTTTCCCATGGAATTAGATGGTGTTGTGTGTGAATGTCTCAACATAAAAAAGAAATATCTTACTACCTTCAAATTTAAATACTATAGGTATATTATTATGCATTCTATACTTATTAATATCACGTTCAAAAATTATGTCTTAATTAAAACATTTTTACAGTTAATTTATTAGCATATATACATACCTATAATAATGAATAACCGCTATTAAGACATTGTATACAATTTGGAAAAATTTATGACGCTTCAGTAAATTACCCATATTGATATAGGATACATCTGTTAGATCTATATTTATTGAACTTAGAAAATATTACCTACCCAATAAAGAGGTCAATGTTCGACGTGGCGGTTTCTTCTGAAGTAACGATAGTAGCCATTGCACCTAAACAAGACCATGAGTTTTATGATTCATTGTTTTCAAACCGGCATCTTTGAACATACTTCATTACCCGCCATCTTGGCTTTGGCATTTTTTTAACAAGCACAGATAACATAGATAGAGGTTTGTCCAAATAGTTCGGTTTACGATTTAGAAATTTTGCAAATTGTAAATTTTATGAGTGCTAGTAAATTCGCTATGGCTGTTATAAAACGTTTTAGAGGTTATTGTGTGTAGATTTATAAAGAATAAAAATAAAATTTTCTTTCTGTTTGGATAGATTTAGTTTTACGAAAGTTCAATAAAAAGATTGAATGGTTGTTACCTAGGGTAGCAACGAGTATGTAAATATGTACCTAACGTACATACCCGTTATGTTTAATTTTTAACCGACTTCCAAAATGGAGGAGGTTCTCAATTCGTCAGAATTTTATTAATGTATTTTTTTATATCATCTATTACTCGAAGACGCCTGAACCGATTTGGAATTCTTTTTTTGTTTCAAAGGGCTCATACATATATATATACCTACTTCCCAGGTGGTTCCATATAAGTTTTATCGAAATCAGTCGAGCGGTTTTTTTTAAAATCAACAATAAATATTTTTTTTTAAATAAATTGATTATTCGAATATGTTATTAAAAAACTTTCTTCATACAAATTACCTGCTTATTACGTCTACTCTAAAAATGGAAAAATAAAAACTTAAAAAAAAACCGACTAAACGGAGGTTTTCATTATAGATAATAATAAATAATAATAAATACTCTTTATTGTACACCCACAAGAGAAAAAAGAAATAAAATTACAAGAAATATATAAAAACAGTTATGTACAAGAGGCGGCCTTATCGCTAAAACAGCGATCTCTTCCAGGCAACCTTAAGGTGTTGGAATTGACAAACTGTAAGAGGGAAGGGGTGTGAACTATAAAGTAGTAATAATAATAATAAAAAAAAACATAATAATAATAATACAATAATAACAATAATTCATTTTTAATACTATGAATAAACTTACATATCAAAAATACATACATATGTACATAATAATAATATTATATTTACATAAATATGATAAGATTAATACAAGACAAAATACTTATAATAATAATAATATTTAATATATTATGGGTACATAAATATATAAATAATATTATATCATATTAAATACATAATAATAGAACTTACCTAATCAGTTATTTTCGAAATCGGTGCCAGATTACAATATTTTAAGATATGAATATCTAATAGGTAAATATGTATTTTACATATCGAAATATATTACATTTGCATTGCATCGACTGGCAAGAATTACATAAAAACGAAGCTAAAAATAAAAAACTTTTAAATAATATATTTCCGACTCGACACTTTATTTAGTACCTAGTTCTAATAATGAAATAAGAAATTATTTTTTAATTAATAATAGGTATTACTTTACATTATTTTTTTAATATCTACTTAAAATCCTTCTTCGTATCTATATGGATCAAGCAGCAACCAAATAAACCACAAAAGTAATAATAGTCGTAAAATTAGAAAGTCTAAACGCTCCGAGGGTTGATGGGTTGGTTGTTCTCATAAGCAATTGTCAAAGAATTTCACTCAATTACGGCAATAAAAATAATATTGTAGGCAAACATTGAGACGCTTTGAGAGACAAGCCGACTGCTACCGATCGGTTTTGTGCAACCCTCGAGGCAGAGAACAATGCGCCTGCGCACAATGACTATACCTTCAAATATATTTCTTTATTTTGGCCCAAACATTGGCATTTGAGCATTGTGGGCCCTTTGTCAGCTATTTACCGACTTTTGGGTTGTTACATTGAAGGGCTGCCGTCAATAGATGCAAAAAAAATCGTGGGTTCTGATCCGACTCTTCTGTGAAAAGATTCAGCGACGCGGCTGAGTTGACGAGTTAATTTCGTTCGTTACTTAACAAGTTGGAATTGGGTTATTTATATTGAATAGAAATGCTATTAGGACTCGTCGGTGTGGTCTTCGATTGAATATATTTTGAATATTAACCACTACTCACTATGCAAATAGCGGTAAAAACGTGTGTTCCATAAAAACTTTTTGGTTTAAGGATTACAATATACACAACAAATTGTAAGTACCTATTTACCTAAAATAATATATGGTTTATGAGATAACTTATCATCTGACAAGCTTTTCTAAATTTCTTGTATTTTTTACATGAATATTAATTATAGAAGTATAAGTTATGACCATATAAATACACAAAGGCATATCATGATTTATTAAAAAAAAATCTTTAATTAGGTATACAAGGTCCATACGGAAAACCATAAGGACTTACAAAATTTTATGGAGGCAGCAGTTAATGACCACGTTGCATTAAACATCACTCATCTGTCTTCATGATATTTGTAATTATTTGATCACAACAAATGTCTCAACCATCTATTTAATTTTGTAGATAGGTACCTACGATTATATCGCGTTTATTATAAACTAATTTTATAAAAAAAAAGTCATATAGGTATCTATGTAAGGAAAATGCACAAATAATGCGAGTATGTACTAAAAGTAAAGTAGGTATCTATATTATGAAATAAATATAATTTTGGTATTCTTTAGATAAAGCTAGAAATACTTCAAAAAACCTACTATATGAGTATACAATATACATATAAGTATTTTATATACCTATTCCTATTCAACTTTTAAACACGTCGCTCCGCTTTGTCCCTAGGTTGATTGATCATACAAACTATCATCCCCATTTTCACCCCTTTAAGGGATGATTTCCGGGATAAAAACTATGGCCTTTCCAGTGTCTCAAACTATCTTACCAAATTTCATCTAAATTGGTTCAGTAGTATCGAAGACTATTCAGTACAAACAAACAAAAAATAAGATCGTTCCTCTTTATAATAATATAGATTATAAAGATTTTTATGACTAATATATACCGACTAATAAGTATATATATACATTTATATTATGTGATATTTTGGGATAGTAAGGGTAATTCAGTGACCATATTTTATTTTTAACTATTATTCAAATAAGAAGGTAGGTACTTATTCAAATACCTACTATATTTGCCACTTTTAATACTTATTACATTTCATTACATTAAAAAATGTAACATGATACCTCTGTTGCTACCAATTTCAGAAAAAAATATATATAGGAATTGAAAGGATATCGGAACAATTTAAAAAAAATCGATAGGTTAAATATTTGACTTATAAAACAAGATCAGAATTATAAGATTTAAAAAATCTGTAAAGTGCAAGTATCACCCGCGCAAAGAAGTTTCCATATTACTAATAGGTATTAAAGTCAAGTTATGTTTCATCTTATGCAATTAGTTTAATATTAAAAGTTGTCCAAATATCAAATAATTTCACAAAATAACTTACCTAGGTATACACACAACATTTACTATTTCTTGAGCGTTTGTAGTGTCTTGAATGAAGAAATCGTTTAATTTATTTATATTATCCCATATTGAAGAATTTTTCACCCCTCGGATACAGATAGGTACCTACCTACCTACATGTTGTATTGAGTGCTCAATATATTTTTTCATTTCTTGTAATTTGACTTTACTACTCATCGGCGGCGTATATTTAAAACATACCTTTCAAATTTCAGTTATAGGAATAATATCCAAACAATATAGCTGAGATATTATAAGGACAGATATAGCGAAATTATAAAGCTTCATTTTTTAATTTTGGCTACACAAAACTTAAAAATCAAATCTTGTCGCTATATTAATTTAACTTTAGAATACAATATTTTTTAACAAAGTACTTCCTAACTCTTTACGTTATACAAAACTAGCGACTCACCCTCGCTTTGCTTCGGGTTCGTCCCTTGACCAATACAAATCTATCCCATGAGAACCGTACATTTTTCCGTAATAAAAAATAACATATATGCTATTCAAGACTATAATCTATCTCTGTGCCAAATTTCATCCTGATCCGTTCAGCCGTTCTGTCGTGAAAGTGTAACAAGCATTCATACATACTCTCAAACTTTCACATTTATAATATTAAATACGGATTAGTATGGAAGTACCTATAGATTATCAAAATATATTTATTATATGAATTCCAGCCCTGGTGTAGCTGTAACGTGTAACTCTATGTCAATTGATTAAATTGATGTAGGTAGAGTTAGACGTTCACATATCACAAAAAAATGGTTTAAAATATCAATGAGAGAGTATTTAAAAAAAACATGTCACGTCTTTTACAAATCCTAAGTACCTAGTTAAGTAATAACAAACGAGTATAGTAACATAAATCTTTGAAAGATGCACATTATAGTTTATCAAGGGCTCTTACTATCTCAATTATGTACTTTTAATATAAAATAGTGTTGCCATTAAAATGGGTACTTTTAGAAATACGTTAACACATACATTAGGCAGGACTAAAGTACCCCGTTGTTCAAAGAATACTTATTTTGCAATGTTTTAAAACTTTGCGCCGATACAAAAGGTAAAGTGTTCTCAAAAGTTGGCAAGAGGTAAAGACCAAAACGTAACTCCATAATTGGCCACTTGAATTTTAAGGGAAACCTATCCGGTTTATAAGAAGAGCTATGCAAACATAGATATGTCCACATATTTTTATGTCATCATAAATTCATGAATTTTATATCAATAAAATATGAATCTATACTAATATTATAAAGAGGTAAAGTTTGTGATCTTGTGAGTTTGTGGGTTTGTGAGTTTGTGAGTTTGTGACGTTGTAGGGGGTAATCTCTGGATCTACTGAACCGATTTTCAAAATTCGTTTACCAATAGAAAGCCACGTTCTTTCTGAGTGTCATAGGCTATATATTAACCCGAAGAATGAAAAGGTTTTTTCGTGGTAGTCGGATTTGCAAAGTAAGTCGGAGAAAAAACGGTCGAACGAAAACGTTTCTTACGAACGCTGCCTTAACGATGAGAGATATAGGAATATGTTCTAGAGAAAAGTTGTAGAGCTTAATAATGCCTAC